ATGAGTTGCTTGCCTTTCTCTCCTGACTATCAAAGTACGTTTCATTTCTAAGCTTAGTGTTGCTGCTCTCCTTCAATTTTATTATCATTATCAAATTATAAAAACGAAATTAACACACTTAACAGAACAATTACATTATTTCATTTGAGACAAAGGGGTGACATTTTGCATGTTGTGTTTGATCAAATGAAAACAACATACCATACTAAAATATCCGTAAAAATACTTATTGTTTTAAGGTAAACAGTTGCCAACAGAAACTGGATTATTTTATTTCGCATTGTTTCCATTTTATATCGATAACGGTACAAAATGCGAAAAAGGTAAGTATTGAATAATTTCGGAGGGTATCGCAGAAAGATCCGCTTAGTTTTAAGAGATGATGGTCTCTCCCAAAATGTTTTCGTTAATCCCTATGAATCCAGCCCATTTACATTTTAATAGAATGTTTGAATAAGATATTATCCCTTACGTCTCATTTCTTTTTCCATTTCTATTTTGTTTTTGTTTTAACCAGGGAATTGTTCTGAAAACAGTACGTAAACAATTTTTTCCAGATTTAAGTAATACATTAAAAGTAAAAGATATTATTGTTTACACTTGAGATATACAGCAAGTGAAAAATGGCGGATAAATTCCCATTTCGCTAAAAGTACTTCGTAGCGATAAAGTTCGCCTGGCTTAAGGATTTCCCGGTGCTCAATATTTATTTAAAATAAGCCCCTGTAATGTAGTCTGTGATGCATGCGCGAAAAATGTAACATTTCATACGCGACCGAACTTTGGAGCCAGCTTGGAGATCGGTCCAACAATATCACACCTCGGCGAGCACTGTCAAAGCTTCCCTAGCCGTCTTTTGATATTTCACCAGCAACAGAATGTGTATAGTTTATAACGATCCTCGCCTACGATCCTTTCAAGTCCCGCGGGTCTATGGAAGTTTCCCTGATGACAGACAGAGATAGGAATGTCAAATGTAACGTGAAATTTATAATCGATGAGTGGCTGGCAGGGCCTAAAAATTGGCCGCTTTGAAGCACTTGGCGCACATTGAAATAAGCTATTCCTGGTTTGTGTTTCTCTGGTAATTTAATGTCTAAATTCGATACTTGGGTTCAGTCAGGGAGACCTCACAAGATCAAGATCGTTACAAAATAAATGCTTTCAAATGGCATTCCCATTAATCTTTAGTACTTTTCATTAACAATAACACAATATTAATAATATTTATTTTTTCGACATGTTACAACAAATTACTGGAAAAGCTATAAAATGTCTTATATGTACCTATAACAATTATGCTCCAATTAATAATGTAGTCCAACAAGATGCCTATGTCATTAACGAATATTAAAAATAATAGCGGCCCTAAATTCGATCCTTGTGGAACTCCTGATCTGGTAATATATATTTTTGATTTATAGCCTCTTTATACTCCAAATTAAGGTCTAGCTAGTAAATAAGAATTGAACATGTTTGTCAAAGTGGTAAAGAAACCAATATATTTAAGCTATGATATTAATAATGTTTCAACGAAGACTATCTTATATCAGTATATCCGTTTGTCCTTGGAAATTCAGATTTTTAAATATAAAGCAACAATCATAATTTAATTACTACTTTTGATAGGTGTCATCATGTATCCTTATTTTCCTTTTTACTATTACAGGATTATGAATAGTGTATAATGGCTAATAGCTATAATGGTTGTAATGGCTATAATAATGGGTAATGGCTATAATATAATGATTATTCCAGTTTTTGAGGTGTCTGAAAACATCTTTATCCTTATTATTAGTTGTTTAATGTGATGGTAAAATATTGCAGGCTACTTCCGATACACCCTGTATATTAATATTCGTTCTCCCTGACATTTTGTTGCTTCTTAGACAAAACAAAATTGTTACTACTTACTATAGATCAGTAAGTTGTTTGATGAAATGGCTGGAAAGCAAAAAAAAATAGTACCTACTCTGTATTTACGTTTCTAGAAGAATTTAATATCTAAACTCGGTATTTAATTTCCGTTTCTGAATTATGTAGTATATGAGCAAATCCGTCGCTCCATCACGTTATAAATGCTTGAAGTTAAATTTAATTAACCGCCATGTTCTTAAAAATATACGTAGAGCAGAAGTTCCTTTTCACTTATGTGGAAGTGAATCGCTTGAAATTACCAAAGAAATATTTTTGAGGAGTAAACAGACTATGCAGTTTATTTGTTAATTTCATTTAAGTTCCCTGTGAAATTTAATATAACATTTTAGTCAAATATTGTACTTATGCTGAATAATCCTAACATTAACTTTATATAAAATATTACGTCTGACTCAGGGAACTAACAGGAACTGTTACTGTTACTAATTGAAACTACCTGAGTAATAAAGAATATCTAATTATCAGGATCAGCCAAAAGTAACGGAAAGAGAAAATAGGAAACCGCAAGAGATGATTTTTATAGATATAGACAGTTTTATTGACAATACGAACAAAGTACATTTATGTCATTTAAAAGTCAATGTGTCCCACAAGGTAAAGAGTCAATGATTCTTACTGCAGCTTTTTGTAAGTAAAAGACTTTATAGGATTTAGCTGAGGTGCCCCAGAGAACAATGTATGATAACAAGCTGTGGACCATTGCGAAATAGACAATTCTCATTGTGTTGTGATCCAAAGATGATATCAGCTGTTGCATAACAAAGATCTTAGCTGACAGCCTTACACAAAGACCGACCAACACAGACCAGAATCAAGAAAGACCCCAAGCAGACGCATAGGTTCTGATTCATTAGCCCATCGATCGGAACTGAATAGGGTACTTTTAGTTTTAGACTCATTTAGTTTTAATTTTTTCGTATCAAACTGTACTCTTGCCTATTGAAGGTCAGTATCAATTAGATTCGCTTCACCTCTAGCAAGAAGCATAGTATCATCTGCAAAAAGAATGCAGTCAAGGTTATCCAGTGATACTGGAATCTTTTTCTTTTGCAACAAATTTTATTAAAATCATCTTTGGATCTTTCAAAAAGATAGATCTGTATAGAGAAATGCAATACTCAAGTCAGTACAGATTTTCCGACCACTGCCATGGAAAACATGATTTTGATATATGACTAGAAATAATTTATGTCAATAATTATAAATATTGAAGGTGTTTTTTACACTACAGCTGACAGAATTAGTAGCAGACTTGATCGCACCAGTGTCTAGCCTATACAATTCATTTGAAATCTTTGAGCAGGGAGTGATATCGAAAAACTTTTTTAATAAGAGTTGCTGAGCAAAACGAAATCTTTTAAGACAAATGTTATTAGGTCATAACGATCTGCGTTAATGTGAGATTCTGTTTACTTATTCAACCAAGTTCCAGAAACATGTATTAACAATATTTTAGATGCATTAAACTAATGCAAAAAATTAAAAGGTGAAAAGAATTTCCGAAATTTTTCCGTGGTTTTTGAGAGACTGTATTAAGGTAAAAAATGGTCGTATCGGCATTTTGAAGATAAAATTCTAGTTTTTAGATGTTTCGGTCAAAAATTTTTAGGAGCATGCAATTCTAAGAAATAGCAAGACAAAAAATTTTTGCAAATTTTATTTTTTTCCGAGTCCACGGGCTGAAAAATTTTTTTCAGCTAAGCCATTACATGGACCAGATAGCTTGTTTATTCAGCTTCAATTTTTTTTTAAATTTCGATACGACCATTTTTCATCGAAATATCGGACTTTCCATGGAAAAGATCCTTTTGTCTTCAATCATCGATATCTCGGCGACAAATGGTCGTACAGAGAATTGAAGGACAGTTTCGAAAACTGGAATAAATTTTATATAACATGCTGCCGCAACTTTTGGGAAAAATTTTTTTTCATCTTTTTCACGAATTTTAAAAAACAGGAAAAAAGTGTCATTTATGGTTTTTTAGAAATTGACGGCTAAATTAGAAATATTTAAGAAATGACTAATGACTAATGACTAATTTACAGTTGGATATACCCAGAAGAACCCTGTGAAGTCTCTCGATATAACGAACCGTTTGTTTGTTTAAAAAAACTTTTGAAAAAAAATTAAAGGGTCACGTTTTTTGAGCTTAAACACTTCATAATCATGACTAAATTGGAAAATAAAAATGTTTGAGATTTTCTCACATTTTTAAAGCAAATAACGTTTAAATTGATGAAAAATCAGAGAAAAAAAGGGTAATTTTGAAAAAAAAACTGTTTTTTAAGTGATTACAGACTGCATAAAAATTAATTAGAAATTTGTCTCAAAAAAACGGTATGAATCCGGGTCGAAATTTGGTTTGAGTCATCAATTTTAATTTTAATTTAATTAGAAGTTGATGAACAGAAACATAAGTCGAAAAAGCCGGAACGTGCTGGAAACAATTGGATTTTGTTTGCTTCAATGTTCGGAAGGTTTTCCAAAAAAAAAAACAAACAAACAAAAAACAAGAATATTTTTGCAAAATTTGCTAAACTTTTTTGTTGCGCTCTTTCTTAGAATTGCATGATAACCGTATTTCCTAAAAAATTTCGACCAAAAGATCTAAAAACTAGAATCTTAGAACTGCAAAATGCTTTTTTTTTAATTCTCGATGCGACCATTTTTCACCTAAATAGACTGCAAAAATCACGGAAAATTTCGGATATTCTTTTGACCCTTTAATTTTTTGCATTAGTGTAGTAGCTTCTAAAATGCGTTTGTAAACATTTTAACAGACCTTGCGTTCCTTAGAACGCCGTATGAACATTTTTTATTCTTTCACGTCACAAAAAGATTTAGAGTTGATGTTTTTTTCTACATATAATCACAATGGGTAAATAAACGTGGCAAAACGTCAACTGCATTACGCAACACAGCGAAGGCGCGGTGGAAAATGACACGCGTCTCCTTACTCTGTCACGCTGTCAATAAAAATAAATGCGAAACGGGTCTCATTTCCGCGTTTTACGGGGACATATGAATAAATGTAAAACATCGATTTTCCATTAAAACTCACCCAGTATTTCGACGGTGTGCGTGATTTCTCTCGGCTCCAGCGTCCCGATCTGGCAGACGTAGTCGCCCGCGTCCTGGGGACCGGCCTCCTTGATCTCCAGGCTGTAGCCGTGCACCAGGTTGATGCGGGGGTCGGGAGATACCTTCACGTTTCCCGCCGACAGCACGGCGATGCCCTTCTTCCACACCAGCACGTAGGGACCTGGAACAAGAAATTCCGTGAGATATTGCCGGTGCCAATTTAACGCACTTTAACTAAGAGAATAATAAGGGAGTTGGGAGATCGGGCGGAGAATAAGTAACGCTGATTTCGGTTTTGGTATCGTTCGTTAAAAGTGCGACAATGCATCGGGAATATAAATTCCATTCCGCTAATGCTCACTTAAAACACTTCCGTCTTCGCGTTGCTGAAGCCGTGTTTCTTAAATTGAAAATGTTGAATGTTGAATATTGAATGTCTGGGAGCGAATAGGAAATTAGCGCCCGTATGGATTTCTCACAGGGTAACAGGTAACTCAAGAGCTCTACGTTATATCGAAAATCCGCTTTTTCTAATAATAAGTTATATAAAAACATGGATATTAGAATTATTTGAAAATGAGTTTTTGCATTGAAAAAACTATTATAAACAGACAAACAGGCTTGTTGAGATTAATTTGAGATAGCTACAAGAGTCGGAATAAAACATTTAAAACAATAGACATATATTTTTTAGTGCGTACTTTATAATAATTAAATACATTAATACCCAAATTTAAACATGGTGTTTCTAAAATAGGGTTCCAAACTTATGCTGCGTTTAGAACTCATTAAAATAAGCCAAAAAGTTCCTATTAACATGTGCCCTAAAACGCACCCTTAGGAAGTTATATGCCCTTAAAAGGGCTCAAACAAAACTGTTTTTTTTCTGTTATTGACAAAACGGTCGCAAGTAAATTTATGGGTCTTACATAACTTTTTACGTTAAATAACATGGGCTACTCCGTTTTTCGACATGCAAATCATATGCGTCCCATTTAGGTTGGTGAAGGGGGTTTTCGACCCGTAATTTTTTTTATTTAAATTTTTTTACAATTTTCTCTACAGATTTATAAAACCTTAACAATTTTACATAAAAAATATTATCTTTGTCCAAATCGATATTTCCAATGGTTTTCGAGTAAATTGAATTTGAAAATTACTCTGCTCTTTAAGTTATTAAGCCAAAAATTACAAAAATCTGTTTACCATGGCAAATAAAAGACTGACGTTGCCACAACGCTTAATAATTTAAGTTATTGATAAACTGTCAATTGAGCTTTGCAGTGTTTAATTAGTAAATGTGGTGAGTGGAAAATTTAAGTATACAACATTATTGCAACTCATAAAATGGAGTCATATTCAAACACGGAAATGGCAGATATGCACTTTATGTACGGCCGTGCGCGGCTGGAAATGCATCAGAAGCGAGGCGTCTGTATGCGGCAGCATACCCGAATAGAAGATTTCCTTCTCGACAGATATTTCAGAGGATCCATCAACGTTTAAGAGAAAATGGTTCGTTTCAACCAAGAGTAAATGATCGTGGCAGAGACAGATTTGTAAGAACACCGGTGATGGAAGAAAATGTATTAAGAGCTGTGCAGGACAATCCAAGGGTTAGTGTAAGAAGTGTCGCACGTATGCATAACATAAGTTTTTCCGTAGTTTGGCGAATTCTTTGCGAACAACTACTTCATCCTTTTCATATCCAGCGCGTTCAAGCTTTAAATCCGAATGACTACGACCATGTCGGCAGTTCTGCCAATGGTTTTTGCGAAAATCGAAGCGGATTCCGAATTTTGCATCTCTTATTTTGTTTACGGATGAGGCAAGCTTCACATGGTTATGTCAATTTTCATAACGCTCATGAATGGGCTGATGAAAACCCACACAGCATATTTCAGTCCAGACCTCAGATTCGGTTTTCCGTCAACGTTTGGGCAGGCATTTTAGGCGATCGGCTAATCGGACCGTTTGTGTTGCCTAATCGATTGAATGATGAGGATTACTACAATTTTTTAGTTAATGACTTGCTAGGACTTTTGGCAGAAGTCTCTTTATTTGAACGCCAAAGCATATGGTTTATGCAGGACGGGACACCACCTCATTACCTATATAATGTAAGACAACACTTAAATGAGTTGTATGGAGAAAAATGGATAGGCCGAGGATGTCCTGTTCCCTGGCCTCCACGTTCCCCTGACCTTAACCCCCTGGACTATTTTTTGTGGGGTCAACTTAAGGCAAAGGTTTATAAAATTCCAATTGAGACCATTCAGCAACTACGAGGAAATTGAAACCGCGTGCATGGAAATAAGGCAAACACCTAGAATTTTCCAAAGAGTTTGCAAATCATTGAAGCGTCGAGCTAGATTATGCATCGAAATGCAAGGTGGTCACTTCGAGCAGTTTTTGTAATTTAACTTATTATTACTAATTTTAATCCCATTATTTTCTAATTCACATTTAGCTATTATCTTCAGTAGTAATTGGTAAGTGTAACTCTAAATTTAAATAGTCTTAGTTTATGTCCTAAATTATTTATTAAATGATGGGATCCTTCATAATTGCAATTTATTTGAAAAGAACCAGTTTTGTTTGAGCCCTTTTAAGGGCATATAACTTCCTAAGGGTGCGTTTTAGGGCACATGTTAATAGAAACCTTTTGGCTTATTTTAATGAGTTATAAACGCAGCAGAAGTTTGGAACCCTATTTTAGAAACACCCTGTATTTATAGAAATAAAAATTGTATGTCGAAAACAACTTCAGTAAAAAATTGTGCAAAGTAAACGTAAAACCTGGCGAGAGTTACGGACTATAACCGAAAGCCGTGTTTTTTAAGGCAGAACAAATTTTCCCATTGTAAGAACAGGAATTTACAATAAATTACCAGAAGGTCGCCAGAGATCCAGCACAATTTATGGAAATAAAAGGAGGAACAGTAGCGTTGTGTTAAATTTAAAACTTCCCAACTTTAAGGACCAACTTCAATTTAAAATAAATTGACATCGGCCGCGTAGTATGTGACCATGTTAATTTGAGGTTAAAAAAAGTTATTTTTGCCGTGTAAATTGAAACAGCGATTGTATCTCCGTCTAACGGGATGCTTAAAAAGTCCATTTTTATCCAGATTATGAACATAACTCATCCCTTTAATTGAGCCCTGCGTTCTACTTTTTCCTGGCTCCCCAGCCACATGCTACACGGCGACTTGTTTTCGATATAATGAACTTCATAAATTCACCTTTCTCCTTGAAAAAATGCACGGCTGACTCCAGGCGAATTAAGGCCTAAATTTATTTGCTAATAAATACTGAATTATTTATATCTAACGTCTGAACTGAATTGTCACTAGCTACTAGTAGTGACATTTATTTTTTACTCCTGAAAATTCATATCATTATACTTCTAGTAACTGAAGAAAGGAATCTTAGGGACATAATCCGGTTTGGTTTAAGGGCAAAATTATATATTAATAAAATTAAACTTTGGCGTAAATATAAATCTACAAATAACATTGATGATTACCACTATTAACAGAAATAGGAACTGAAGTTATATCTTGCATTAGTTTAGCATTTAAAAATTATCAAAATTCAATACTCAATGTTCTGTCCGCAAATCTTAAAAGATTTTGGTCCCATATTAATTCAAGATCTCATTCCATCCTGTATGAATTATAATAGTATTCAGTTAAATAATCTTCTGATATTGTCAATGCTTTTGCCAATTATTGACTCATTTTTATCTAATCACAGTCTTAATAGTTGTACGCTCGCATTGCCCTCTGTTGGCTGTAATACGCTTTGTGTTTTTGAGGTTACCGAAGATGACAATGATAAATGCAATTAAGAGAATGGTAAATTTACAATGGGACCTGGTTTAATTCCTGCATTTTTAATAAAAGACTGTAAAACAATATTTGCAAAACCTTTTAACATATAAAGAATATCCACAAGTATGGAAAGAGTCGCGAATATGCCCCATTTATAAAAAAGCTACTAAGAACGACATAATTAACTACCAGCCCATAGAAATAATTTAACACAATCGACTTTATTTTCATATTAAAAAATCAATATCTCCGTACCAACATGAATTTATTAGTGATCGTTCAACTACCCTAAATCTAGTTGAGAAAACCCTATTTATTGCTGAAGCTTTGGATGCAGGAAGTCAGGTTGATGTTGTGTATACCGATTTTTCCAAAGCTTTCGATCGTTTTGATCATAATTTTTTAACATTGAAATTGGAGTCATATGGCATATCTCCTGCTCTATTATCTCTATTTAAATCTTATTTTAGTAATAGGTATCAATTTGTGCGGTATCGTGGCTTTCAATCATGTAAATTCCATAAATCTTCAGGAGTTCCGCAAGGGTCAATCCTGGGACCACTACTGTTTGTTATTTTTATTAATGACTTAACTGAATGCTTCGATGTCAACTATTTACTTTATGCGGATAACCTGAAGTTGTTGAAGATCTCTTTGTAGTTGCTGTTTTTTAGTCTTTGTTAAAGGTGATAATGGAACAGCAAGAATACAAGATATTTATCTGAATGATTGTATTAGGTATGTGTTCCTGTATTGATTATATTTAGACATGTCATTTTTTATTTTTTTTAATTTGGATAAGTGTTTATTACTACCTGTTTTTTATTGTGGCCCATATCATCCTTTGGGAAGGTCTTGTCTATGGAGTTGGATTTATTTTTTCATAAAAAAATTTCTGTTATCGGTTTGATTTAATTTGATAAGATTAAAAAAATGTAATTTATTTAAATTAATTTGCCTTGAAAATAAAGTAAAACAACGGATAATGTTAATAATAATATTCATATTTGACGACTGTTATTGAATCACCTCTATAATTTATTAAATGAAGAATAAAGCTAATGTATGTATTGCTCATTTGTTTTAATTAGTACAAATGCTATTAACAAGATGTCCTTCATTATATTTAACGATTTATTCTGATAAGAAATTGAAATGACTACTTCCTACAGCAATTTATTAACGTATTCATTAAAATGGAGGTCCCAATTCAATTTATATCTGTAAAGTTACATGTGTCAACATAATACATAATACAGAAATAATTATTTATTTCAGCCTATGATGTGAAATATTTGATAATTTTATTAGCAATTTCAGTAATGGATGGGATACATTGTCTAGC